TTGCAGCGTTACAAGTGTCTCTGTTCGGAAACTTGGCCGAATTACTACGGCCCGGCAAAGGAAGGCGTGCAAACACTCGTGTGTCATCTCGGCTATGAGCGTGACGAGTACAGAATGGGAAAGTAAGACCGCGCAATTATCGCGCTTTAAGCATGCTATACATCATAATTCATATGTTTTGCAAATTGAGAACAATTAAATTTTAGAAATAATCAATGAATTGTTAAAAAAAATTATACATTAATTATTAAATTCTTAAAATTCGTTACAGCACAAAGTTGTTCATCCGTTTTCCTAAAACGTTATTCGATACGGAGGATGCGTTTCAAATGAAGAAACACGAAATAGCCGCCATTATCCAGAGCAAATGGAAGGCTATATTAATGAGGAGGAAATATTTAGAGATGCGAGAAGCAACGATCGTGTTCCAGAAAAACATTCGCAGATGGCTCGCGAAACGCAAAGCTAAAAAACGGCAACAAGCGGTTGCCACTATCCGCAGGTATTTCTTCTTTAGTCTTATTCTTTCTTTCTATAATAACAAAATATGTCTATACATTCTATATTTGATCATATATTAAAAAGTTATATTTATATATTTACTATGCTAAATTGATACAGATTTATTGAAGGCTTTATCACGCGAGATGGACCGCCTACGGAAATTAATAAGGCATTTATCGAATTGGCGAAATCGCAATGGCTTATTAGACTTTCGAAGACATTGCCACCGGGTGTCTTAAATAAATATTGGCCGCCATGCCCATATTCTTGTCAAGAGGTATAAAATAAGAATTAATAAGAAATAATTCAGCTATTTGTATATAAATTCTTTATCTATATAAAAATTCTCAGTGAAATAGAAAATATGTCTGTATAATTATACAATTAAATTAATGTGATACGATAATAACATTCACATGATGCAGGCATCAGAGCATTTGCATGTAATGCACAGGCGATGGAAAGCTCGTTGTTATCGAATGGCATTAAATAAGGAAGATAAGGAACACTTCGAGTTGAAGATTCTCGCGGAGTCTCTATTCAAAAATAAGAAGAAATCTTATTCGAAGAGTGTAGGTCCGAGATTTGTAACCGATCGTCTTGGTGAGGAGTACAAGGCACTGCGACAGAGCTTTATCAACAACATTTTAACTTCCGGAGAAAACATAAAGGTAAACATAAATCACTGAAAAAATATTGCAACGCTTTTTCTTTTTGTATTACATATATTTACAATGAATTCGATAAAATAGAAGTATAAATTAAAATTAATATTTTTAGTACGCCACTCCTGTCATTAAATACGATCGGCACGGATATAAACCACGCGAGAGAGTACTTATTTTAACCGAGAATGCCGTATACATTCTCGACACACTTAAGACGTTCAAGCTCAAACATCGCCTGCCTTATAAGGCTATCGAGGAGTTGGTTGTCACCAGGGAATCGGATAATTTACTCATCGTTAGGATACCACCTGAATTGAAAAAGGATAAGGTTTTTATAACTTGAATTTCAAACCTTAATATTTTTAACTCTAAATACAGAGAATTATTTCAAGCTAATAGTAAAATGATATCAATATATATAAGCAGTAATAAATATTTTAATTAATCAATTATTTAATGAGAAAGTAATTTGATATTTAGCAATTATAATTGAAATAAGTTAAATTAAATATAAAGAGTAATTTAATTAAGGGAGTTAGTAATTGGGGATTTATTAAAATTAATAAAAAGATAATAAATATAACAAATACTTCCACGCATTACTGTTTACAGGGTGACTTGATCTTAGAAGTTCCACATTTAATAGAAGCATTGACGAAAGCGATTGCTATTACTAACAATCCGAACATTGTTAAGATCGTCAATACCGAATCGTAAGTACTCTTCAATTTTTTATGTATTATATTTATTCCTTTATATTTAATAATAAATTTGATTACGAGTTAATTCAACTAATCAATTTGTTTGCTGCTTTTGTACTAATTCTATTAATATTTGTAATATCATGTTCCAGTGTGTCCCACAAACTAGTCAGTGGTAAAGAGGGAGTCATTGAAGTTAGGACTGGTACCACTCCCGCAATTAGTAAAAATCGACAGAGCGGGCATTTATTAGTAGTAAGAAATTCAAAATAATTATCCTAATCTTTTCGAGTAATCGTCTTTCGTTCGCATTTGTTTTAAACCGCTAAATTTCAGGTCGCTTCCCCGTAAAATTATTCCAAACAGGAGAATTTCTCGGGGAACTGAAAGAACTGGTGCTACGATACATAAAGCAGCCTTAACACAATGTGATCTAGAGAATATACAACATCAAGAAGAGATAATATATGACACTTAATACATCTTTAAATTATTCCAGCAATTTTGGACAGAAGAGTGATAAAATGACAATACATAAGTCTTTCATTTCGACGTATAAATTACGTCAAATTCTTGTTTCAAATATGGAAGGCGCAGAGTGCCATAGGGGCCTCCTGTATAATATTTTCTTGTAAATTAGGTAATATTATTAAACAATATTTATTTTAATAGAAATAAAGATAAAACCGATAGGATAGGCGAATTCACTTGTCAATAATTTATAAATGTATTATTGAAATATAAGTTAAACTTCAGTTATGTGAGTGCAATAAACAGAAAAAAATTCACATCTCACTCAATCATATTCCTTTTCAATAGATAATTTCAAATAGAACAACATTGCTTAATTAAGAAAAATATAACATATATACATACACACAATACATTATTGATATATGCAAATATTACAATTAACATATCATTATTTTTTTGAATTAGAAGGATTCTTTTTTGTGAGAGTTTTCCTTCCCTTTAAAGCTTTCTCTCGTATCTCATCTTCTGCCGCAGTATTCACAGTTCTTGAGATCATCTTCTTCAATTTCTGTGCTTCTTGCAACTTTGCCTTCTTAGGTTGAATAGGGGCATCTTTGAGAAAATAATAATTCACATATTATTTATCTTAATATTAGAATATCATTCCCTTAACTACAAAAGTAACACAACTCAAAAAATTAAGTTTTACACAAAAAGAGAAAATTTAATAGAAAATTTACTATCAAATAAAAACACAAATGTAATTTATGAATTATGAAGTATTTATTTAGTGCACGAATTTATGAAGTCGAGTTAGTTTATTTTTGATGATTAATAGAATTATTGCTACTCATTCATAGTAATAATAAAAAAAATCATATTTCTTAAGTTGTGTCAATTTCGAAGTAAGGAGATATTATATGATATTGTTATATTTGATTCAGAAAAGCTTGTCCTCTCATTATCACTTACTTCCACGTCTTTGGACAGCAGGGCCCTTTTTGCCCTTGCCTTTATTGGCTTTCGTCTTTACTGATGTCGGCAGCTTTGTCTTCACTTTAAGCTTTCCCTGTGCCATTTTGTGTGTTTTATCACTTATATACAAATTCAAATTTGTAGATTGTTCACACGCTGTAAAAAAAAGGAATATAAAAACAGTTGACAAGAGCAGAGAGAAAAAACCTCTAATATGTTAGATTAAGTAATTAACATATTACTACAATTATAACATTATACATAACAGAAGGATAAATCAATTTATAATGTAATTTTTTTATACACAAATTTAAATAAGATTAATTGTAAATTGTACATTTTTCTCGTAATTGAAATTTATGCGTTTTTTTTATAATTTACCTTTAGATGAAAAGAGTTTATGAAACCTTCAATCCTTCCTTTTGATTTATTAGCACTAAATTTGCGCACTTATGCACATAGGTTATGTCACATTACTTAAGGCTGGTTTACAATTTACATAATATCCAATGAGAGTTTTGCTTTACATTGTTATATGAGAAAAAGCAAATCTTTCATTGGATATCGTTCATCGCTCATCGTGTTCGGTGTGCAATAAGCTAACATGTCGTCATTGCCGTCAACCAATCACAGACGGAGAACAGCGGGAAGGAAAGCACAAACTGGCACAAAATGGAAGGAACGCGGATACGAAAAATTTATGAAAGTTTAGACACAAGAAAGAGATGCGCATAACGATATCATAACAAAAAGGCATTTAACTTTTCCTATATTCTTTCACTTGTCTTTACTATGAAATAAAAATAGTTCATCCCTTTTAGAACTGTAATAAAGAAAAATTTCCTTTTCTTTGTATTGTATATATCCTTACTTTTGTTAATATCATTAATTGTTTATATTACCATTATTTATTATTGCAGAATATAAAGTATTCGCAAAAACCAATACCAATTAAATGCGAAAGTAGAATGTTCCATCGCGTGTAACGATATCTTTTAAAGTATTTTTAAAAGGTACTTTTTTTATGTCGACGTTCATTTTTAGCGTCAAAACAAGTCACGTGGTCAAAATTACCGCGTAATATTCGTAAATTTTCATCATTTTCAACTATTTTAATAGCAATAATATAAAATTATATACAAAGAAAATGCACATAATTGAGCGAGAAGTTACGTCGAACACAGTATAGCGACAGCGGTGGCGGCGTCGGCATGCTGGGAGAGGTGGAAGAGGACAGAAGGTGGGCCGTATAGCGGGCGACGGGGATCGGAACGTGACCTACGCAGGAGATGTCGACAAGATGACAGCGGTCGTATGACGACGCTGGTTACGCCGTTGTCCGCCCGACACGATAGAGTCGAGGATACGTGGCTCCGCGCCAGGAAGCGGCAGCTACGGTGAGTGCGGCGAACGAGGAGAGAGAGAGAGAGAGAGAGAGAGAGAGAGAAATAGAGCGAGAAATTTGACATCGTCGTCGTCGTCGTTGTCGTCGTCGCCGTCGACGTCGACGACGGTACTGGTGGTGACGGTGCCGCGCCCCCGTGCGATGCGCACGACGGCGCGGTGAGGAGTGGACGGTGGGATCGTGGGATCCTGAGGTGGACTCGCCGACGAGGAGTGCCGTCGACCCCACGCGCACCCGCGTCCGGAGGCATGAGCGTGTTTGGGGACTTCCAGCGTGTCTGGGTGCAGCGATTCCCAGACAGCGCCTTGCCGGCCGCCTGGGAGGAGGATGTCAGAGCGAACCTGGTCAAACACAAACAGAAGGTAAGCCTGAGCGCGATGATTCTCCCCTACGCCGTAGTGCGGAAACTTATTGCGTCGACGATTGATCGAAGTTGTTAATTTTTATCGACGAGTTTTGCCACATGTGCTTTGCAGATGTGCTTTGACAAATAATTATTGAGTGGAAGAATAAGGATGCATGAAATAAGGGTGAAACCTGTCCGTCGCATGGCTGGTGATAGTGTCGTAATGTATTCGCCAAGCGTTTATTAGTCACGTGTGAGCGATCTACTGTGTATGCCTGTGTACGTGTCGCAAAAGAGGTTTTATTTCGTTTAATTGACATCCTGGAGGGGTCCGATGATTCATGTAGACCAGAGTGGCCGAGTTTTTATTTTATCAGTCTTTAATCAAGTTCCTGGGAGAACGGGAAATGAATATTTTAAAGTAGTAATACAGGTGGATTATCATAGAGTCTGAGATTGAGGATGCAACCTTGCGTAACGACTGGGTTATGACTGTAGTGAAGTGTTGCAATGTTTACCAAGTATTTATTAGTCAGATCAGAATTTATGCGTGTGTACATAATTCAAGTAGATAGCGAAAAATTTTCTGAAGAAACATTTGAAACGCTGATAAGTATGGAGGAGGAAGTACAGCACAAGGAGAATTTAATTTCTTCGCTTAATAGAAACTTAGTCATGTGTAATTCAATTAACACCGTGTTCACATGACTTGATGACTCATCGAATTAATTGTCTGAAATCTGTCAATGACAGAGCACTTGTTACATTACGAGTGTCAATTATTATCATTCCTTTTTAACATTTAAAATGAGATCGTAAACGAATAAGCGAAAGAAGAAAGAATAGTAAACATTGACTTCCTGCTTACAACTGTGAATCATTACGGAGTTATCTCTGTTGTATTATCGGAACACCGAAAAAAAATTGATTATAGTTATTACATTAGATTATCTTAAAAATTCATAAAATTATGTATTAACTGATTTTTGTTTAAATATTATTAAAAAGATAGTGTGGCTTATTATATATTTAAAAAGTAACAGGAAATGATATAATTACATAACAATTCTTTTTTTAATTATTAAAGTGTTTAAAATAGAATAAAATATTTTTTTATAAGAAATAATTTAAAAATGTAAAATAATTAAATTAAAAACATGCGGGATTTATTTTCTATAAAATTATAGAAATCTTTCGAATATATCAAAGCACGCGATATTTTTTTTTTTGTATATATAGGTGACAGCTTTGAGAGAAGAGCTCGAAAAGGAAGAATTTTATGTGGAATATTTAGAAAGATTGCTGGCTGATGTCGAGCGACACAAACAGCTGGCTAACAATACCAGCGTGAATACGAATACGTCTGAAATTAAACAGGAAGCGGCGATAGAAACGCAGTCTCAACAGGATTCTCAAATATCGGAGAACAGCTTAGCGGACTCTCCGAATTCACCGAGTTCTCAGAACGTCGGACTGTCCGCTTCTATTTTGACGGAACGGGAAGACATCAGCAAATTTCAAGACAAGTGCGTGTCCGAACTGAGCTCGACTCTCAGCACAGCTGGCAAGCGACCCAAGAGCGAAATACCAAGGAGTCCCGAGAAAGTGCCTGAACTTAGAAGAAACAGTGATCCAGATGTGCCAAGTAATTATGTTACAGTGATTGAAGTTACCGGAAGTTCGAAGAAAGATAAAAATGAGGAATCTCTCAAGGAGGAGGATGAGAAAGGTACTCTCTTTCATACATAAAACGTTTTTATTGAGCTTTTGGAGTTGCATAATTTATATGTAATCATTAAAAGAAAGAAAATTTCAAAAAGTAAAATGAATTTTAATCTTATTATCTTATACGATTTAAAGTTAATAGTTCAATTTGTTTTTTATAAAAATCAATTGTCATTAGTTTTACATCAATTTTATGTATATTATACATTATTTTATGACTCATAAAATTTTAAAAATAATGATTATTATTTGTTTGCTAAATAGACTTAGAAAAGGCTATCAACGAAGATGGCGAAGATGGCGATGCAGAGGCATCGGAGGAGGAGCCTTATTACGATTCAGTAGCCTTGGACCAAACTGGGGAATATGTTTACATTGACGCGCGCGTTCCCACTGTCAACAGTAACAATGGCAATAGCAAAGCGGCAACTCGAAGACCACCTTCGCTGCCAGATTCTCCGGGCAATCAGAGTAATTATGTCAACATCGATTATTTTATACAGTAAGTCGTTTGTCATATCTTGTTTTATTTTGACGCATTGGATCTATTAACTATGGGAGTACGAGCGTCTTAATTACATTGTTTTTTAAGTTATAATGTTAACATTTATTAGTTGAATTCACACGCGAGTACTCCCGGGTTAAGATGTGGAATACGTATAATTGTGTACGTTATCTTCAGACATAGAGCGGCGATGGACAGCGAAGATGAAGAGGGTGCTAGTCCGGCGCCTCCGATCTTGCTGCGAGCTCTCAGCACGGACAATGAAACCGGCAGCAGTGACGCCGAACCGCTAAGTTTGAGCGAGGGTAGCTTGGAATCACCGACCCCGACAACGCCGCGCCGACAAGAAAAGAGCAAGGAGCGCGAGGATGATAGGACGTCGA